GGGGGGGGGGACAGGGGCCTGGTCCACCCCTTGGCCCGGGGGGCGGGGTGATGGTGCCAGTGGTAACGTGTGGAAACCGCAGGCATTCAGTGCCGACGGGGCACCAGCGTGGTTCCTCAGTGGGCGGGGGGGTGGGGGTGTGAGACGCGACCTCCAGCCTCTTCTTTAAATGGAAGCAAAAGGAACGTGATTCAGGTCCTTACGTACCGAGCGCACAACAGCCATTTAGAAAAACCTTCTATTTGCAAGAATTCCAGACTCACGGAGAGTTGCAGAGAGATCTGTGTCCCCTTCAGCCAGTGTCCCCAGCAATGACAAGTTGATATTAAGGACAGTGGCCGTCATCTCGGAGTGGCCTTTGGAGACCCCGAAGGAGCCGGAGTTGGGGTGTGGGAGGCCTGGAGTCCCACGTTGCCGTTAGTCAAATGCGTGTAGGAGGTCAGGGGACGTTTGAGAGGCCTGGAGACTTTCAGAGATGTTACCACTGGGGGTTCAGAGTGTTTCAGTTTATTGTTACCACGTGATGGGTGCGTGTTACAGTGTTGCAGGAAGATGCAGCCTCAGAGCACCCTTCCCTGTGTGGTTTGGCAAATATTAAATCCATCGGGCCCTGTGTTGGCGAGGCCATGCGGGGGACCCGACCCCCGGGAGGTGTCAGGAGCCCCAAGTGTTCATGCTCTTTGACGGAGGCTGTGGATCTGTGCTGAGGAAATGACCAGAAAGGCCACCAGGATCTCACGCTGGATGTTCACACCTCTGGTATTGATAAGAGCAGCAGATTGGGAGCAACCCACAGGTCCATCCACACAGCACTGATCCGTCATCTACAGGACAAGATGTGACTCTGAGATCAAACCATTTTTGAACAATATGCTAAAATGCTCAACATGTGATCTTTACATTAAAAAAGCCAGGATATCACACTATATATTATATTTTGTTAAGATCTATCCCTTTTGTGTAAAAATACTTACAGATATACGCCCAGCTGTGGAGGTAATTGCTCTGGTTGACTATGAGACACACACGTGTGTGTGGAGGGAATGTAAACTAGCTTCTGTTTGTACGGGTCAGCTGGGTCTTAGATTCGAATTTAACCGCATGTTGTCTTGGCTGCATTGAGTGTGACTTTTTAAAAAATCCAATTAAGTTGGAGGTGAGTTTGAAGTTATTCAGCAGCCCTGGGCTGAGGCCATGAGAGAACTCTCCTGATGTGGTCCCCGTGTCGGCTCCTCTCCGGGTCATTGGTGACCCCCAGGAATGACGCTCCGGCTGCAGGGCCCGTGAGGGGGTTGGGCTGGGACAGCACAGCCGTGAATCACCATCCGCGCAGCAGGGGCCGCTGCGTCTTGGAACATTCCTTCCAGTCTTAGGCCTTTTCTCTGAAGCAGAGATGCATTTACATTTTTTGTGGAGCTGCCAAACTCATGCTGAAAATTTCCAACCCAAAACAATAATTTAAATTGTCTATATTACAATATTTATTTTGTGGACCATTCTAACTTGAAACTGTGCGCACACTGTGTTGCTGGCTTTGTCCGTGATTCAGGAGCCAGTCATTTCCCCAGATCTATTTCTCTATGGTGTCCAAGTGCAGAGCGGCTCAGAAGATGCTTGCCCTGCACAGACGGCGAGGGCTTGCACTTTCCATCCTTCCTTTGCTTCTCTTTCCGTCGCACACTCTCGTTTTTTAATTTCCTGGGAGTCAAATGAACCTAACTTTTATTTTGTTTTTCATTTGTTTCTTTTCTATTTACAGCAAAGGACAGTGTTTTCACTTAGATCAACAGTATGTAGATAACAGAACAGATTAGTACGTTGGATATTCTAAACGGAGACGTGGTCCGCTCCGTCCGGGCGGGGTGAGCTGAGCTGGGCAGTTTGTCTGGGGGTCAGGGCAGCTCCCGTAAGATGCTAGTTGCCGAGGGCCGGCCTTGCGCTCGAAGCCCGTGGCTCGCTGGTCCTTCGTCCTGGTGGTGTGGCTGCATGTGTCGCTGGTAACACGTCAAGAAAGTGCTTCTGAGCACCCGGGAGACTCTGCTAAACGCGTCACGGAGCTTCGCCCACCAGGAAAGCTCCCATTGGATATTCTGTTTAACGTTTCTCAGAAGCCATCTGGCATTGGGGGGGGGGCGCGGGGGGCTCCTGCGCTCAGCCCGTGACTTGGGCGTTTCCCTTGTCTGGGCATCTCGGAATCTCCGCGCACACACGTGTCCGTCCCATTCTTCTTGGTCACATCGTCTTGAGTTTTCCGAGGCTGTACTTAGTGAGAAGCGGGGGGCGGGGGGCATCTTGTTGACATGGAATCAAAATGTAGACAGCAGACGGGGGCCCGGGGGGTGGGTGATGAGCATCCCACCCACCTGCGGTCTCGCTTCCTGAAGAAATCTGGGTTTAGGTTGGCCGTTGAGTAGAGGGTTTCAAGTGCAAGTTGGTCCTGGAATCTGACACGTAGTCTGGAGGAGGGGCTTCCCAGGGTTGGAAGGCCTCCCATGCAGACGGTGATTTTAGGGCCCAGCAGGGTGGACACGGGGGCTGAGGGACACACTCCAAAGTGGCCTCCGTGCCTGAACGGAGGTCCTGGCCCCCGGGAGGCGCTGGTCTGCCCCACCTCCGCCGGGGTCTGACTGTTGGACACGCCCACTTCACTGTATCTGCGGCGGATTCGTTAGGATTTTGAATTTCTTGCTGCATCGACACAGATGCAGCCTCTTCTCACGTTAGAGCCTTTGATTTGCTTCTTGAAGGTCGAGCTCAGGCCCACTGAGAGGCCCGTCCACCCGGGTGGCATCGAGGCTGGCAGTGTCCCTGGGACCCAGTGAAGACTTTATAGTGGGAAGTGGTGTGCGCGCGCGGCCTGCGTCCCGCCAGGCTCTCAGCACCGCCGCGTGCTCTCAGAGGAGCCCAGCGGGCGGGGCTGCAGAACCCGAGGGTGGACAGGGTGCCCGCAAAGCTGATTCAGCAGTAACTGCACGTGCATGGCGAGATGATTCAGTTTCTGTCGTCACTAGAAAACCACGAATGCCCGGAAATATACTGTCCTTTCCAGGAGTATTTTGCACTTATTTTAGAAATTACATGTTTGATTCCAATTCAAGCTGATTTCTGGGCTTTTTCTCCTTTCACAAAGTACCTTTATTCTATCTATTGTTTTGTGCTTTAAAAATCACCCTGATTCATCGTCTGAGATAAGGCGGAGAAGCTGGGGGACGTTTCAGGGGAGTAGTGGACCGACCCCTTCCAGGCTGAGACGCCACGAGCACTGCGTCCGTGTGTCTGGACCTCTAAACAAAACCCGCCCTTCCCAGCCACCTGTCCCAAACAAGCTGCCGGCACGCACGGTGTCTCTGCTGCATGCGCGGAAACAGACATATCAGCGACAGGCGGAGCGGGGCGAAGGGACAGTGGCGCCCAGACGGCGGAGACTCCGGGAGCGAGGGCACCTTCAGGGCTGTGTGTGGAGGGCGAGACCTGGGCGCCTCCCGTCCACCCCTGCGGGGGCAGGGGGTCCTCACACTGCTCCCGCTCTGCAGCCCTCCTGGCCGGCCTGGGGTTGGCTTCCAGACACCTTTGAGGTCTGACGAGCAGCATCTCTGTTGGGTCAGGTTCTGCATCCGAGAGGGGAGGGGGAGGGGCTGTCACCTTGGGGACCAAGAGCCACCCCCCCACACTGGGCTCTCGTCGGAAGGCAGTGGGTGGACCAGACCCCAGCTCCTGTGAGGGCCTGGCGGCCTCTGCCTGTGGACTGTGGCTTTTGGGGGTCAGCCTTCTGTCTTTTTACAGGGCAGGACCCTGAAGCATGTTCTGTAGGGAGAGCAGGACCTTTGGCCTCACGTGGACCTGGTTTCAGGTGGCAAATGGCCTCCATCTCCAGTCTGTACAATGAGGCTGTCAGTGCCCCAGAGATCTGAGCTTGTCGTGGGCCTCGTGGACCCCTCAGGCAGGGCCCGGCTCACTCCCCTCTCCCCTCTTCAGCCTCCAAGTGACAAACCCGCCTTGGGCCCCAGGGCCACTCCCTTGGTTCTGTGGATCTTTGTCTGCAGCTCACTCGTGCCCTGGGTGGGCGGCTGCCCAGTTGTCGTGCACGGATCACGGGATGTAGGGGGCTGGGCGAGATTGCCACAAACCTGCCATTTTATCAGGGGCCCGGCGGCACCCCCGACGGTTCACTCCTGCCCGCAGCCAGCACCCGTGGGACAGAGGGGAGGGGAGCCAGGCCGCCCAGTTCCGAGGCCAGGCTGATAGAACTGTGATTCTGAAAAGGTCTTTAATTCTGGAACCTATCTTATTAAGGAGGTTAAATAATTTATAGGCCTATCGTGAAGGAAGGAAAACATTTTAAGGTCGTGTGGGAAAACATTTCCATCTTATTCAGAAGCTCATCCTGAGGCCTGACAAAGCTCTGGGCGTCCATCACCATCGAGTTGCCATTGGCTGTGTCGGGCCATTATCCTGATCGATGGGAATTTCAGATGCAAGCCTGGCAGGATGAGCCGCCTCTCAGGGCCCCAGAGTCTTAGGTGGGTCTGTGGTCTGTGGGAAGCCGTGGCATGAATGTTTAATGCTCTGTGTTCCATTTCAGCCCGTCTCTCCCTGCCCTCGACTGGCAGCTGCCATCACACTCAGGACCGTACGAGCTGAGGATCGAGGTGCAGCCCAAGTCCCACCACAGAGCTCATTACGAGACGGAGGGGAGCCGGGGGGCCGTGAAGGCGTTGGCCGGAGGACACCCCAGTGTGCAGGTATCCACTCTGCTCTGACCCCAAGTCCTGTCCCTGCTGCAGGGGCAGCAGCTGGGGCTGGTTTAATCCAAAGGCCACTCTGCGGTAACAGCTAACAGCGCCTTTCATTTTCTGTCTTTTTTTTTTTTTTTTTTAATTCTCATCTCCCAACCAGTTTAGCTAAATATTTTATACACAGTCAAGTCCCAGTTTTCTCCTCAATACATATAATGGTGCAATGAGAGTACCTGCTCTGCTTGCTTCTGGAGCTCATAGATCAGCTGTAATCGTTACACCTGAGGTTCCTCTTCGGTGGAACTGCTTTGGGGGAGCAGGCGATACCCTGAAGATTGTGGGTGCGTGACCAGCCCGGCGGGGTTGGGAGGACTCCCCTGGATGGCGTTGCCAGCAAGCCTCTATTCAACGAGGAGGCAGAACGGCTGTAGCTTTTGCTTGTGTTCCCTGGTGGGTAACTGAGGTGACCTCGGTACAGCCTGGCTATTGCTGTGTCCCGGGGGACAATGCCCTTTATCCCCATGTGTCCCTGAGCAGTCATGTTCGACTCAGAAAAGATGTGAAAGGCCAAGGGGAGACTGTGTCCAAGAAGATGCCCTGGGCCACCTTGAGGGTCCATCTCGCTGCCTGGATGGTGGCCAGTGGGCAGTGTGGCCTGGGGACTGCTGTCTAGACCTCTTAGTAGACTTGACCTTGGTGCTATTTCGTTTTAAGGTGCCCTGGAATAGGAAAATTTAAAAGAAAGGAAATATACCTTTGAAATAAAAGTGCTTTATTTTTGAGGACCTTTTCTTTAACAAATCTGTAGAAATAAGTGTTCAGGGTTATTAGAACCAAGGACTGAAGCTTCTGCTGAGAAGCTCCCCCTCGATTTCTAATCCAGCTGCATTTTGTCCATCGTTCCTGCTGCAGACGTTCCACAGCATACAGCACACGCTGGGTGCCGTGCATGCCACACACAGACAGGCAGAGGTCTCCTCCTGGCGCCCCTGCCCCGGGGGGAGTCAGAGAATCGCATCCAGGGGCCCTCTGCCCTCTCCAGCTCCGAGGGGAATGGAGCCCACCTCTGCCCAGCCCTCTGCTCAGAATTAACCCCATC